TTTCAGGAATTCTTTAGTGTTTCAGGTCACATACATGATGCGCCACTTTCCATAAATCTGATTTGTATTGCTGCAGTATTAAAGCTTTGGAAACAACAGATAATGTTGATATAGCATCTGGATGCCAACATTCATCTTGGTAGTCATCTACTTTTCTCATTTCCTTGATTATGATTTATAACTCATAATCTCCCTCAGTGTAGGTTGGTATCATTTTAGAATCCACAGATTTAATATTGAAAAATTGTGAGTCTTTCAGACCCATTAAAAAGCTGTCTTCATTATCTGTCTCTGCCATCTTTTCATCACAACTGCTGTTGAGATTGTGTAGAAAGGATGACTTCATGTATGTGATTCTGCCAAAGGATCTCATGCAGAGGAATGATGCCAAGTGGCTGCTGAGTGAAGTATGGAGTGGGTAGTATCTGCTATAGCAAGGGAAGTGGAGGAAACGAGAAGATCCCCGATGGGAAAATTTGATATTTGAAATGTTCTGGTTTCGCTGAGAAGGGAATGGGTTGAAGCTATTTTGGCCGTGTATAATTACACTGCAAAACGAGTAGAGAACCCTCACAGTTTTTGAGTCACTGGGATTTCATGGTGTTTGTGACAGGGTGATGCAGTGGTGACACACGTCACATTAATTGACTCAACTTCTTCCAGAATTGTCCTCTAGTACAAAACTGACATGCAAATTCAGCATAAGCAAATTGTTCTGGCTGAAAAAATTCTCTCTCTTCACACCCACATAATTTACCATTGAGTTTAACACTTCACTGTTTTTTCTACTAAAGTTCCTTCTCTTACTTTCTCCCACATGGTCAGGGATGATGCCACCTTTCTTAAGGAGCCGTATGTTTCATTCAGGTTCCTAGATCTAGATTATATGTTCTTTCAACTTAAATCTTCTCTGAATTCAGAGGAATTAAGCTGATTAAGTCTTGTTGATACCTGGTCCAATTGCTTTCTGTGTTGCAGTTTTTTCTTAATTAGACAAATAACCTTGTTAGTTAATCTCAATCAGAGGAGTTTGCTGATATTCATCAGGACAAAATTCTGTATTTGTGATTATATATTTTGTGATTTATGTGTTTTCAAATATGAAAAAATGTCACTATATCATGGTGGAATTTTTTATTTTTTTTTTAATCAAACACTAGCTTCAGAAAAAACATTAGACTTTTCATAGCTGCAGAGTATGGGTGTGCTGATGTGGAAAAATTACTTCTAGAATTGCCTGTCTATCCAGACTTATATTTACTTTGCATGTATGTGTGTGAAACCTTCCATAGAGTGCTTATCAAATATGTGAAGCACAAAATTTGTTTTTTTAGAATTCAAGAAGGGGAGAATAACATGGGTCTTTCCTTAACCCAATCCTGAGAATCCTGTTAATACTAAAGTGTAAAAGTGAATGTATATTCAGTATTGTAGAAAAACACTGACTTAAATAATCGATTCGTGAATTACGATTAGAGCAATGCATTTACATTTCTCTTTTTCACTTGTGCTGCACTTCATTATACTAAACAACACAAGTTTGCAGTGTAGAAATTGAAGTGATCAAAAGAGATGAACTGATCCAAGGGTTTATTGGCTGCCACACGGGGAGAATCCTGTTAATACTAAAGTGTAAAAGTATTGTAGAAAGACACTGACTTAAAATCTATTCATGAGTCACGATTAGAGCAATGCATTTTCACTTTTTTCACTCTTTTTCACTTGTGCTGCACTTCGTTATACTAAACAATGCAAGTTTGCAGTGTAGAAATTGAGGTGATCAGAAGAGATGAACTGATCCAAGGGTTTATTGGCTGCCACACGGGTAGAGCTGAATTTTACTGCCTTCAGGACATGGGCACTGTGCTTGGACACAATGCTAAGAGTCAAGGCTTGTCCAAGGGTTTATTGGCTGCCACACGGGTAGAGCTGAATTTTACTGCCTTCAGGACACGGGCACTGTGCTTGGACACAATGCCAAGAGTCAGATATCAGATACAATATTGTCCAGAATTAAAAACTTTGAGGAGCTAATGGTTAATAGATGTGATAGCTATGTCTTGTATCTTTGCTCTTCTTTCATTTTTTTAAGCTCTTTTCTAATGGTTCGGAGGGTATGGTTGGTTTTGTGATTCTCTGTGGTAAGTTTGTTGTTGGCTTTTTGTCTCCTCCCTGCTCAGTGTGACAAAATGTAATATGGCAGAAAATGTAAAAGCATGCATAGTTTATGTTAAATTCAGTTTAAAAATTCAGGAAATGCCTAAATTGATGCAAATTGGTAGATATCAGTATTTACAAGACAGGAGAGTGTAAACTGTGCCAATTGAGTACCCATGGGGCAGCATAATTGGCTGCTTGGGACAGATGGCCTTTAAATGCCCAAGTTAAACTGGAATCAGGGGTGGTGATGTTACTTTAAAGTGATTGTTAAAACAGTGGTACCACTTGCAGGTAATTTATTTATTTATTTATTTTTTTAAATGCAAGTCTTACCTTTAAACAAAAGCATGACATTTCAGTTGCAAAAGAGACCATTAAGTCTAACACACTTCTTGTGATGCTAAAAAAGGAATGGACCTTACTGAAACTACCTGATTGCTTTAGCAGCAGGACATTCCTCCTTGACCTCTGTTCATCAGCAAATTAAAAGGGGAGTATTCTCTGAAGCTTGTCAGGCCGATTACACATAATGTTGTTACTGCTGCTGAGGTGAGACAGCTCTTTTACAGTGATGTATACCTTGCTTAAAATTACACATAGCTGGAGTGGTAACAAAAAAAAACAACTATAGGTGTTTCGATATAAAACTTAAATGCAGGAGATGACAGCTCTTTTACAGTGATGTATACCTTGTTTAAAATCACACATAGCTGGACTGGTAACAAAAAAAAAAACTATAGGTGTTTTGATATAAAACTTAAATGCAGGTTTTATTTACTTTGCATGTAACAACCAGAATGCCAATACTTATCAGGTATTCTAGCACCGGCTAGATTTAATTCATATAACAGTAAGGTCTTTCATTCAGTTTGATAGAAAAATTTGAACCAAACCCTCCATGTAAATAATGCTAAATTCTGGAAGATTCTATATCTTTATGTGTGAATTTTCTTGTAAATCTGTAATGAGTTTGACTACATGACCTCAGTTTGAGATAACTTATTTTTTTATAACAGTTGTCCATATCAATGACAACCAAATGACTTGTGTGAGTGCTGTTTGGTTACCAGTGGGTATGCATAGCTGAGTCCTGGCATTATGTCCTTGCACTGACTTTACCCCGTGTCTTGCAGTCATTCTCACAAGTACTTCTTGTTCCCTGACTAGATCTGCAGTTTTTCCTTTCCTCTGATGGATGAACAGAATTGAAATGGTTTGAAACCACAGTTTCTTGCAGTAAAGTTCATCCACAAATTGGAAGACAAAGCAAAGTTTATAAAGAGAATAAAAGATTTTACTGACAGCTGAGCTTTTATTTATCAGCTACAGAACACATTAGAAAGATTGCAGTTTTTATTTAACCACCCTGGGAAAACTTAACGTGTTTTTTGGTATTGAGGGGATGAATTTCCCTCCTCTCTTCCTTTTCAACTTTCCTCTAAAAGATCACTTCTACTGTAAAATGGAACAGTTGACTTAAAAATTGTGCTGAAGATCTTCACTGAAAGTGTTGGGTGCTACATTGCAGACCAAATCAGCTCAGTTCTTCTTTTGCAGCAGCAAGCAGAAATTAGAGATGTTTTGTGTTTCACTAGAGATGCAAACTCAAAGAACTCTATCCTTTTTAATTTGCAGCATTCTGTCAAAGCTGAATATAATTATTCCTGAAACTTCAATATACAGTTAAAATGCGTTGCCTAAAGCCTTGTGTTGATGAAAGAGACATTTTATTCACTTTCATCTCTTCTAGGTATCCAAAGTATCATTTAATATAGAAGGATTTTCTTTTTTCATAAATCTATCATATTTTGTGAGCTGTCTATTGCTAAAATAGATAGGGCTGATAATACCATATTTAATTTGCTTCATTGAGTTTCTTTGCTGAAGTGGGTATTCAAAATCCATTAAAGGAACATTGAGATTCCTGTTTAACTTCAGGGTCTTGGATCTGATAATAAAATATTACTGATGTGTTGCAGAGTTGAGGTTCTTCCCCACACCCCCCTTCTTAGAACCAGAGGTACAGCACGGAGGAAAAAAAGAAATTTAAGTTGTGGAGGGAATGGATGTTTGAGTCTTCCTCAAAAGAAGAAATAGAGATAATTTAAATGAAAAAGTGTGTTGTTTTAGAATTAACTATAATGTTTTGGTTTTTTTTCTGAAGTGGGGTATGAGAGTTGGATCTGTATGTCATTCAACCTAAACCAATAAGTGTTGGATTTATTTCCTTGTGGATTTTAGAAAAACTTTAAAATATATAGTTACATTCCAAGTTAAAATTACCATTTTGAAAAGGATAGAATATTTTGACTTATCCATTAATTAATAATTAGGTTTGATTCCTCTTAGCATATTTGTCAGTTCTAGTTTATACTGTAAGGAAATTGTGGAATTAAATATACTTTGCAAAGTTAAAACAGATGTGAATCATTCTTCCCTCAAATTACTGGCTGTCACAGAACTTCATACTTTCAAAGTTTTGCTTGACTTCTTGCAGGGAATATCTTTTAAAACATGAAAAATCTCAGAGTGTACCATCACTCACATTAAATATATCCTTTCTGTCTCCTGTTCATCACAGACAATATGCCATTAACAGTGTTTCAGTCTGATAATTTGTATAGTCAGATGCAGCACATCCTTTTGACGTATAAGACATCTATTTATCTATGTTAGGAGAAATCAAGTTATTATCCAGGTGAACAAAGGTACCCTCCCACACTCCAATTAGGAATCTATAAAGAATGTTTGAATTAGTAAAATTTGTATGAACTAAGACTGTTTTTGAATGCATTGAGGAATGTTTTGAGAAGATCTCATGCTTTTATTTTCTGTGTTAGACAGGGCTATGAAGAATTGGAAAGACAGCTGAAAGAAGTCTTTAAGGAAAGGAGCAATATTCTCCGTCAACTGTCGAAGACTTCTAAAGAACTTGAGGGAATTAAAGTAAACCTCCAGGTTAGGTTATTTCTCAGTTTCTGTAGGATTATTTGCCATGATTTTTTCATATTGATATGTATTTATTACAAAAAATATGGGGTGGGCTTTTTTGGTATGTGAATAATTATTATTTTGTTGACCTTGTACTGATGTTTTTGTGGAAAATATTATCCTAAGAGTCAGGCCCTTTGACCACTCCGGAAAAAAAAAAAAAAAAAAAAAGAGAGCCTAGTAGAATAAAAGAATAAAAAAAAGGAATGGAAGGAAATAGAATCAGCTGTCTTAGTGGAGTTACCACACATTTGTCCTGTCAGCTACTGTAAAGGATTTCCTTTACTGTTGCAGGTTGCATCTTTGCTGATGAGTTCCATCTACTCAGCCTAGTTTAGCTGCTCACTTTAGGTGCCTGACATGCCGCGTATGTAGACTGACTGGATTTACTGTGGGGTATTACTTTACAAGTTTAGCTGACAAATTGTACTAGATGACCCTCCAGCTAGAGCTGAGACACCTCTGCATTTAACTTGGCAGGTTTTGAGGTGTCATGGATAAACTGAAAGGGCAATAGTCAGATTAACTCTGGAGTCAAATCAGCTCCTCGGAGTGAAAAATAGATTAAAAATCCTGTTCTGGATTTGAGGTCCTGAAATCACCAGATGCTCACTTAAGAGCATGCCTGTCTTTTCCAGATATAGTCTATTGGTCTGGTGAAAACATTCAGACTGATTCTCGGTTGAGATTTGTCTCTGTATTTCATGCCGTATAAAAGGACGGTATTTTTCTGACACTGCATTTTTATCTTCATGTTGGTGTAATCTAGATGTGAACAATATAAGGAGTAATGTCCCTGTATCGGTTCACAGAGGAATACTTGTACTGTGTATCAGTACTGCACTATATTATATTATTGAGTTATGTTGTCTTATCTTCTAGGCTTCTCTTGTTCTAATTAGTAAGAACTATTGAACTTTTTTTTTGAGTGCTTCATCACTCTTTATTATTGTAGGGATTTCTTCATACTTTATAGGGAAATGTGCTTCTCCTTGTAATAAAGTAATTTGAGAATGGGATTGCTTACACAGAACAGTTGAAGGTAATACTCATCAAAGTTATACTATGAGATATTTTAAACAACACTATAGAGAACCAGATATAGGCAAAGGGCTGTAACACATTTATCTTTGTCATACAATCCTAATGCTTTCAGCCATTTGTTTGTTTCTAAATCTACTTATTTTATTTGATCAGCTCTTATTTAATATTTGAAAAGCAGCTGTGTACAGTGAGCTGTGCTGAGTTACGGTAAAAGAAAAGTCAGGCTGTTCCTCCATTTCTCATGAGTGGTAGTATCTATTATTCACCATGAGCATTTTGTGAAAGATGACCAAATTAATAATTTCACAGATTAATAACGTTAAAGATCTCTTTGGTAATGGAGTTCTTCCTTTGCTATTAGTCTTTGAAAAATGATGAAGCATCAGCCAAAAATGATGTGCAGAAACTTCTGGAACTGGGCCAGAAACAAAGGTAAGACCCTCACCTCCTCCCTTCTCTTTCCCTTTCCTGACTGATACCTGTCAGACTAGGAAATTCCATCTTTCCTTCTACTTTAATCTATAAACACTATATTCCGGAGTCCTCTGATTATAGCAGTGAAATAAGGGCAAGGGTTGCTCTTTGGGAATTTTTTGAAACAAATTATTTATTTGCTGATATTGGACCTATATTAGGAAAAGATATTAAAACTGCTGTAGTGAGATATCTGCTAAAGAAGGGGATTTTGAATTTCTCAAGAAAGTTTAGTCATTATATTTTCTCTTAAAAAGAATAAAATCAGAAGTTTTAGAAAATTACTAGTTGATGGTAGTGCCTAGTTAATTAAATTATTAAAGTATCTCAGTCTCTGAATTTAAAGATGATGATGATGATATGTATTTATTCCGGCCTCTTAGTTAAATATTCATGCACGTAGACACTTAAAATTACTAGTCATTGTGCAAAATTAGGAATCCTTGTGCTGGATATCTGTGAGGAGGGCAGTTAGGAGCAGAGAGAAGTATTCACTTCAAATTATTCATTGAGCACTTCAGAAAACAATGAGTTTCCATGGCAGGGAATGCAAGTTCCCAGCCCTGTTCTTAGTCTCAAATTCCCGAGTGCTTTGCTGCAAGTGACTGTCATCATTCTACTTCTCCTACTTCTTGGAATGCAGACCAGCAAATAACAACATCAATACAGTTTTAATAACAGAAAAATGCAGTTGATATAGGGATCACTTTCACTGAAACAATAATATATAATGAATGCATCTATACTTTGTCTTGTTCCTTAGGAAAACATATTGAAGGACTTAATAAAGTTCATACTTCTTTCATTGTTAGACATGCAATACTTAAATCCCACAGCCATCTAATTGCTGATACTGTATTTAATAGAAGTATATGAAATTGCATTCCTATAGAGAAGGCCTGTGCTAAAATGACCTTCACTTCTTCAATACACAACAGATAAGATCTATAATACAATACTTATAGAAGTTCTCATTTTTACTTTGATAGAGAAGGATCAGATACATAAAAGTCTTTTAAGTCTTCCAGACAAATCTATTAAATGATGAAACTAAGACTTCAGCTAATGTCCTATTTAAACACTAAATTGTAATATGGCGTGAGTGCAAATGAAGGTATACATCTCAGCATCACAGCTGCCCTTGTCACGGACTCCATTCCTCATTCCTTCATACAGGAGTGTGTTTTTGTAGTGGTTTGATTGTTGTGCAGCTTTTATGAAACAGAGAGATTTATTGATTAAAACTATTAATGGACCGTTTAGTAAATACATCTAGTTGCAGATGGAAAAGTTGAATCTGCCAAGGGAAAATTTTGCTACATACTACAAGGTTGTATTAAAACTTCTAGTAACAACCACTTCTTGATCTCCTCCTTAAATCACCCCTTGAAGTCTCTCAAGGTCCACCCAAAGTACGTGTTGACTTTTGCTTTTAAGGGGTTCAGCTATTGAGTATATGGCACAACAGCCCTTCCCAGAGATATACCCTGGGTCACTGCAATATCACCGAGCATCCCTTGCTCTTCTTCAGAAAATAAAAGGGTTTTACAATACACCTCAAGAAAATGCCTTGGAACTACTGCAAGTACTTGACAGCTGTTTACAGGCTTACTGGATTTCACTTCCAGAGAGGTGTGGAAGTTCAGTGTAAGAAGGAGGTGTTAAAAATCTGCCAGGGCATCTACTCCATCGAATTTCTCAAAGGAAGGGTCACAGTTTATTTGCCAAGAGCCTCAGGGTGTATTTCATCTGGAGCAAGTGAGGAGCAGTGAACATAGTGTTTTGCTTAAATCTCTTGTATTTGAACCAAAATTCGCAATATATCTCAATATTAATCTTATGATCTTCTTTCTTTGAACGAACATGAGCTGTGTTCAGTCTGTGAGCACTGTTTTGATTATTCTCTGCAATGATGCATGATAGAGTAAAGTTTAGAGTGATAGAATCTCAGCTTGTGTAAGTTGATATAGTTCTGCTGACTTCAAATTAGATATGTTTTTAATCCCTTTTATCTGAATTCTTCGGTATTCCCTACGTTGCAAGTAAAACTTGGTCACTTACTATGATGCCTTAAGTTTTATTTTTTGTGCACCATCAGCACTTTGAAATGAAGGCATCTGTTTGTGCAATAAGAGAGCTGTGTTGTGCTCATGGTGCGTGGGTGTCATGCTGCTCAATCAGTATTTCAATTAAATCTGCTCTGTACTAGTACTGCTGAAATTGCTAAAAGTAGTAGTGTTATTGGCTAAAAAGAAAGATGATCCAATAGCTCACAAGTTCTGTTCTTGTGTGAACTAGATGTTTTTCATTCCAGTTTAGTTTTCACTGGGATAAGTTGCTATCTGTGTAAACTCATTTCTGCATTGGTCTTCTTTGGGGGTGTTGCTTGCATGGATAAACCTTCGGAAAAAAGCTCAGAAATTTGTCCTCTTCTCATTTGCCACAGTCCCAAAGCGTGTCATGTGCTGTGAGTAGGAAGACTTGGCCTGCAGAGGATCTCAGCCTGTTGCAATTCTCACAATTTAGAGAAATTCTCTTCCTGCATCAGTAATACAAAGGGATATTTTGGTTCAAATACAGGCCAATCCAAGCAATTATCCTTTTGTTGTTTTTTTTTTTTTCTTGTTTGCCATTATCTTCTACTGAGTTTTGTGGTGTTTGTCTCTAGAAGGAGCTTGGTGAAGGTTGAATTTTATCAGAGCATTATTTATTTATTTGTTTTAAAGCAGGTATAAGCTAGTTCTTTTGATAATATTATGGTTCCATTTGGGTGCATTTTCAATAGCCCACATTCCTTGCTTTTTTGGTGCCAATCGTTTTTGCTAGAAATTATACACTGGCAGATGTTTTGCACAGCAGGCTATTCAGTAGATGTAAAAGGTGGCCAATTTCCATCACAGATAATTTTTGTCTTTCATTGGCACTATAGTTCATGGGGTCATTATGATTTTATTAGCAAGACTCATAGACATGGTACATCTGCTTGTTACTCTAAATAATGAAAGGTGCCTTTTCTTTATTCTGAAGAATTATTTCTTAATGGACACTTGTGATGAAGTTTGTGTTCTGTGTTTTCAATAAACTAGGGAAGAAATGAAATCTCTCCAGGAGGCCTTTCAAAAGCAGCTTAATGAAGCAACTGAGAAAGCAGAAAAGCAGCAGGCTACCGTGAGTGATTCCCTGTCCCTCTTTCATTATTTTTGTTTGTTTCTTCTGTCTTTTTTTTTAATCCTTCTGTTTTGAGAGTTTGTCATCAGCTTAAATAAGTTTGCACGTAAAAAGCTTGGATTTCAAGTATGTGGTAGCACTCTAAAAGCATCAGAAGAAAGGAGCTGATAAAAGTTTGTGTGTTCAAAATCACTAATTCCCTGTCTTCACTAATTTCTGTGGGATTGAGGTGTGTGTATACACTTTTGGAGACTTGGGCCTGGAGAATTGTCCTTTCCCTGATGAGATTATCTTTGTGGACCCTCGTATCTCATCTATACCAACATACACTGTCATACATCGATTGACTTTTTGGAATCACTATGGATTTTCAGCAACAAAATGGATAGTAGAGTGTCTGACTTTGACCATAGTAGATGTAATTATCACAATAGGAAGTTATTAAGACCCGTTAAGATTTCATGCTTTAATGAAATTCTGGTTCTGGATAAATTTTACAATCGGTTGGATTTTTGTGTAGCACTGTAATGTCACGGGGCATAAATAGCCACATTTTGCTATTGCAGGGAAAAAAAAAAAGGTAGTAGAATTATGTTTTCTGTTTAACATGTAAAAAGGAAATTTTTTCCTATGTTGGTTAGTAATATTTGTATAACACGGACCCCACTAAGCATAAGTTGACTAGATAATCTTCAGAGGTCCCTTCAAACCTCAAGTGTTCTGTGATTCTAACCCTAGACTTGAAAACAAACTGCTGTAAGGGTTTATAGATATATTTTTAGTTTCATAGTAGATAATTACAGGTTGGTTTAGTAAGATTTTACTGTCTTCTAGGCCCACAAAACAAGGGTTCCTCCAAGACAGAAGTTTAAAAATTATCATTGAATTTAGCAAATATTTACAAATGCCTTCTTTTGTATGAATGTGATTCATACATGGCTTTATGACCTTGTTGAACAAGAAGTGAGAGTGCATGTTTTGCATGCTACCTTCTAATTAGAAACAATGCAGATTTCGAACTAAAGTGTTCCTTTTGCAAGTTTCTTTCAATTAATGTGATTTTTGAAAACACTTTTTTTCCCTTTGTCACTCAGAAGTCTGAAGAGTAAAGATACTCTTGTACCTATTCTTGTGTCCTCCACAATGTATGCTTAATGGATTTTTGGTACTTGTAATTTTATCTAGAGAACAAAAATCCTTTTTTGTCCTTGAGGGAAGAAAAGAAATAAACTGAGTGCTGTATTGAATTGAAAAGAATAACATATTTCAGGGGTTTCTCAATAGCCAGGGCAGCATATATCCAGAAAAAAAATACTAATCTGCACTTGTTTTAAAAAGGTGAGTTATATAGTCCAGAAATAAGAAAATGAGTACCTGGTTGTCTCTACTAAGTACTCAGAACATGCTGGTCAAAAGCTGCCTTTTTTTAGGTGCATGGACACATTTCCACTAGCTTTTATCCAAACAATGAATTCTAGTCCTACAAATTAAAGGTTGAAAATATATTTTGTTATTTAATCTCTGTATTAGATTTTGATATTCAAGACTAATTAAGCTGTGGGTGAAATACATCTCAGATATCGTGGATGGATTATTTGCTTTGTTGTTCTTTGTGATATAGTGCTTTTTTAAACTTGAGCAGCAGTGCCTTGAGTAAATTCAGTCCACACCCTGGCACTGGGGAAGAGCACAAGATTTGTTCTGCACAAGTCAAACAAAATCTACTGTTAACTGTAACCAAAAATAATACCTAGTGCAGAAACCAGGAAAAACCTCTCTGAGTTTATAACAGAACTTGGCTGGGAGTGTTGTCAACTGGTTAGAGAAACTGAATTCTTGAGCTATATTCTAAAACTTGCCAATAATAGAATATTAAATTTGCTACTGATTTTAAGGAATGCAGAACTGTGTCCTTGGTTTTTGACATTTATTTCTTTATGCCTCAGGATACAAGGTGCATAATGAAGCTCACCAATACAGTGAGACTGAATGAATATTCAAAAAGTGCAATAGAAATGGAAATAAATATTATTACTGTCACACAGGGTTGCTTTACACCTAGTTTCTCTGTTTTTCTTGTTTTTCTGAAAGCAATATGAATGCTATGAAAGAAGGTCTAGGTACTTTGAGGCAAGCCTAGCTAGAGGATGAGAGCTTGAATTTAATTCTAATTTAATGAATTGACAGTCTTGTTTCTAATACAATTTCAGCACATTTTATTCTACAGGGTTTGGTGAAGTAACTCTTGATTATAACCAGACTAAATAAGAATAGAATTATATTTCTCAAAGCCACATGAATAAAAGACTAGAGGGGGGTAGAAATATGTATTTTTCTCTGCACTTGCTAAGGAGCCATACTACAGTGCTTCCTGTATGTTAATTGGCTGTATATATTCATACTTGCTTGAAGGTGTTCTTTATTAGGTAAAAGCAAAAGCATAAGTAAGAATTCACAAGAATTAAGTCAAATTACATGAAAAATAACCAGGAAAGTATTCAAGGACTCTGACCAAACCAAAAGAACAAAGGAGTTGTCATGGCAATACATCACACTTTGCATCCAAGTCTTCTGCAATGTGTGGCAAGACCCTTCACTCTCAGTTGCACAAACGATTCAGCAGAAACAGTGTTATCAAAGTTATTGTGCCCACGTATCCTTTTTATTGGCCCATTAAGACTATAGAAGCCAAGAATGGTTGGTCGGCACCTAAAAAGTTGCCATTCTGAGGATCTGCTGAAGTGTTTGTAGGTACCATCTCTCAGAGAGCAGCCTGTGGAGCTGGTGCCTAGGTGGTAACAATTTTCTGAGGGTAGAAGCAGCAGCTTGGGCTTAATGAATCAAAAAGGAGGTGTAAAACCATTCCTGTCCTTTACAGTACCAATAATACTGAGGGTGGACCTTGGGGCCCTTAGCAGGAGTGAGCACTCACTTTCTGGGTCCGTTGTCTTCTCCATCTGTAGCACTAACATATGAGGAACAGTTACCTTCTTGGGGCAGACCTTGGATAAATTTATGCCTTTTTTTCTCAGCTGCTTTATCCAGGATTATAAAATGTGCAGAAGAATACTAGTTATAAGGAAGGTTTAAATTTTAGGATAGTCCTATATTGCAAAGTTCAAGGTCAAACACAGTCTTTCAGAAAGCCTTGGGTTGAGGGAGCTTCTCGACAGACCTTCTCACACTAGAACTGTGGGTTATCTGTATATCAAAAAGCATTTCTTAAAGAGATAAAGGTTGTTAGTCAGAAGCACCATAGTGGGTTTGATTATACAAGATGTATATAAAATGTGTAAGACATCATTCCAAATAACCTATGGTCCTCTTCAACAATTGATGAAGGTTGCCAGAGCAGTTTATAATAGGTTGTTATGCTGATAAAGAATGTAAAATAATGTCAAGCTATATCTCTAAATGTGAAGTGGAACCGCTTCTTCCAGAAGGAGGATTAGGGACCGTGGATTAATTTTCACTTTTGTTAACAAAGAGGCGGAGGGAAAATAACACACAACTTGAAACTGTGGTGGTTACCGCTTCTTCCAGAAGGAGGATTAGGGACCATGGATTAATTTTCACTTCTGTTAACAAAGAGGCATATATCAACATATAACTTGAAACTGTGGTGGTTTGTTTGGTTTTTTTTTTCCCCCAGTGAATTTGAATAAACAGGGTAAGTAGTGATTCTGTATCTCTGCAATAGGTTAACAGCCTCTTAAAACTTTTTGAAGAAGGGCTCTTCTCTTGACTGTGCTTCATGATACCTGCTTGCATCATAAGAAATCATTATTTTTAAGGAGATAACCTCAAAAAAGTTGTTTCCCATTAACTGCAACTGAAATGTATAAAAAAGAGCTGGATAGCGCTGGGTATGGGAGAAAGTAAAGAAGGAAAAAGGAAAATACTCAAAAATTGTTTGGCGAGGTAGACTAAGCTTTGTTCCTGTTGGTATTTTATATCTTGCTAACAATTTTTAAAAATACATGGTGATAGGATTGTCTGACAATACAATTATAATACCGTCTGTCAAAATAGAGGAGAAAATATGTCTGTAAATTCCTTTTTCCCAGTTGCTCAGTATTCACTTTGAAAAATGAAAATTAAGTAACACAATATGCATGGCTTGTAAAAATAAACAATAAACAATATGGTTATTTTGAAATCAGTAGGGTTTTTCTTAGTCATAAAAGACTAACAGAATACGGGGAATTTAATTCAGAGAGATGCACCACCAAACAAGAATCTTAAGAACCATCACAAATTCATGCCTGCAATGTTTTTAATAAAAAGATCAGTTTGTAATTTCACTTCAAAAATATTTATTTTGTTTAGTAACAGCCCTTATGACAAGTCCTAAAGTCTTAAATGTATCTTTGACAAAAATCTGGTTTATTAATTAAAATATAACTTACAGCTTAAAAGTTACATTCATCTAAGAAATCCTAGTAAGTGTAAATACCTTTAGGTTTGCTTTTAGAAATATTTATCCCTTTGTAGAGCGCTTTTTCCCAAAGGAAAGAATATTTCCTATGATTTAGGTAATAGCGTAACCAGTTCTCTCTGGCTTTTGGAGTAGATTCCGACTTGAATCCTAGTAGATTCCTAGCTTGAAAATTAGACCATGAAAATTAATATTGAGCACATTCGGGGTTCCAGATAGTGCCAAAATAGTTAGGTGTTAATGAATGTATTCCGATCCCATTTTACTTGCTCATGTCTTAGTCCTGAGCAAGACCCAAGAAGTCTGGAGGAAAGCAAAGAAACATAGAGTTGAGCTTTGACTGTGTGGTAATGATGCTGTGTTGGTATTCTTCCATCCGTCCTCTGTGGTGAATACCTAACTATTGTCTGACTCTTAGAATTAGATCACTGCCATCTGCTAAAGTATTCTGTATTTCAATGGGGGAAAATTTAATTTGAACATTTCAAGGTCACAAACTGCTGTGAGTACAGGCTACTGGATGGAAGCTGTTGCCTTTAATAAACGTAATGAGCTCTGAAACACACAAAGCTCTGAGTACCTTGGATGTTTGTCTCCAGGAGACAGAAGCAGTGTCCTTGCTTAATATTACAAAGTTCAGCCTTAGAACACCAATATATTTTCATTATCTATTTTCATAATTACAGCGAGGTAGTAATTAAAGGCAGCCAACATTTGGAAAGAGGTGAATGTCAAACAAGAACAAAGAGTGGGTAGAAAGGAAGAAGAGATGTAGAAAGTTTCTTAGTTTCAATTTTTCAGTTTTGTGCCTTTTAATTTAGAGCTGGGTATAAATGTCCATTCTTGTTTATTGTACTATCATGATTTGGTGACTGAAAGTAGAATTTTTATGTGTCTTCTGGAAAATGGTATTATGCCTTGTCATTGGGACTGACTAAAAGCATTTGTGCAAGTGCTCTCATATAGTCTGATCTGCCTTAAAGTACAAAATTAAAGACATAGATGCACTTAAATGATTATCTTTATATTAGGTCCAGTAACTAAGCCATACAAGTCCCTCCTATGAAGCTCTCTGTAGCTATACTTTATGACTCAGTGGCTCTTCAGCTGTTAGAGATTTAGTAGAAACAAGCTAAAAATGCTGTTATAATATGAAAGCAAAAATTAATGACGTTTTAATTAATATTTGTATTATTTTTAGAAAAGAAACGGATGTAATTTTTTTTAATTATTCAGCTAAGCTAAAACAATAAGTTTGCACTATTTAAGATGTCCATATCAGTGATATTAGGTGCATGTGTATGTGAAGAGTAATTAACAAAAATTACTGGTTTAACTCGCATAGATTGTTGGTTAAATTAACAGTACTGTGGTGTTTTAAATATCTCTCCACCAGAAGATGCATGCTGATACGTACAGGCTATGTATAGGGAGTACACAGACAATAATTTTCGTATCATATCTCTTCAATTATTTAATATATATTCAGATTTAGAAGTGAAGTGCTTTGAAGGAGTGTTAATATTCTCTTGAGAGCTAGGATTAAGAAAGGGAACACTCTTTAATGGAGGTCAGTATATTATTTTTGTCAGTATTTAATGGTAGCTGGTAAATCTTTTGAATAGCTGAAAAAACAAAATCCACCATGTGAATAGCTATTTTATTTTTTTTTTTCCCCCATTTAATCCTGATCTCATATTTTGATAGTGACCTTTAATTCTTCATGTGCAAAATCTTCATATTTATTATACAATATACATGGACTAAATGTCAGTATTTGTGGACGTGGTTGCTAGGCAAGTGCTGAATATATTAGGCTGATGCTTTAATAAAAGACTAAGTGGTAGCTGGATGTATAGTTTGTATTTCCACAACCAGACCACTTAGACAAAATTTTGGTAGAGTTTGCAAAAGAAGTAACATTTATGCATGTCAGTTGGTGCTAGTCTCATGCCCCGTCCCCCCCTACTTTTCTCTCTTCAGTGATGATAGTGTTCTCTGACTTCTCTTCTGATACAGATGAGAGTGATGTCAAGTCCGGTGATGGTTTTTAAATTACTGACATCTGTCTACTTGAGTGTGGACACGATTCTAAGAACAGCTGTCATATCATGCAGATGCAATGTCATTTTTTATATGCATGACATCCAAACCATTAATCTCTGGGTCAATGTCTCTGGAATCCAAATCTGTTATCTTAGAGAGGTTTTGTTTTTTTTAACAAGTCTGCTGCAATGTCAAATGAACTGTGGTTTTCTATGAAACATAGACAGGCTTTGGTGTCAATGGGGAGAGAATGCAGCATGGGGCAAGGGGTGTATGTAGGCATGAGGACTTTGCTAATTAAGGTATCCTGTCCAAGAGCATCCTCCTTCATAGTGACAGGAATGTGTTCTTGTAATCCTAGTTATTGTAATTATGTCCTTTCTCCCCTTAAAGGAGAATCTCCTCTCCATAAACTAGGAGGAAAGCTTAATCATGAAAGAAACTTAGACTGATTTGTAAAAACTTTTTTTTGAAGTGTGTTTGACTAAATTCAGTCTGAGAACTAAGTTCAGATTATCTACTTTCCAAGGCAAGTCATTGAATTAAATAGGAACTAAAGACCAGATTTACATACTTTCACATATAATACACTATTCCACAGGTGTGTCTGATCAGAATCAAGGAATTTCTCTCATTAGGACCAGTACTGTAGCATTCAAATCAAATAGTTGTGTTAGAAACCTGATATGGTGGATGTGTTCTTAAAGGATTAAAAACTTTTTAGATTGTAAATTCAGTTAATATTGTAAAAATCCTTAGTTCTCTAAAGATCATGTGGGACTTCGTTGTGAAAAATAAACACTATATCTACTGGTGCAAAAGTAGAGTAAGCCAATTTATGCACAGCAATTTTCTTCTCTTGATTATAAGTTTTCTAATAAATATCATGTTAAATGTTGTATTAACAACTACCTAACTGTGGCTTGTATTAATTTGGTATATAAGCTTGGTTTTTGTTTTTTTTTTTTTTATTGAAAGCTGTGAGTAAAGTAAAAAAAATAGTTAATGGTTAAACTGATATTTATGTACATTTCAACAGCTCACACTCAATGTTTTTTTTTTAAACTTGTAGATTAACTTTTTGAAGACTGAAATGGAAAGGAAGAGCAAAATGATCCGCGACCTCCAAAATGAGGTAAGAGGGACATTTGATTGTCATCTCCATTCAGAGTTTACACTGAAAAAGATTATGGTTTGGATTCGTGTTTAAAACACACCTTGTAGTAGAAAGTTAAAGCTCCAGTGAAATACTCTAAACCACAAAAGCAAACAAAAAATGATTCTGTGCATTTAGAAATAGTATTTTAGAGGGACTTTGTTGTGAAAAATAAACACTATATCTACTGGTACAAAAGTAGAGTAAACCAATTTATGCACAGCAATTTTCTTCTCTTGATTATAAGTTTTCTAATAAATATCATGTTAAATGTTTGTATTAACAACTACCTAACTGTGGCCTGTATTAATTCGGTATATAAACTTGTTTTCTTTTTTTTTTTTTTATTGAAAGCTGTGAGTAAAGTAAAAAAATAGTTAATGGTTAAACTGATATTTAGGTACATTTCAGCAGCTCACGCTCAATGTTTTTTTAAATTGTAGATTAACTTTTTGAAGACTGAAATGGAAAGGAAGAGCAAAATGATCCGTGACCTCCAAAATGAGGTAAGAGGGACATTTGATTGTCATCTCCATTCAGAGTTTACACTGAAAAAGATTATGGTTTGGATTCGTGTTTAAAACACACCTTGTAGTAGAAAGTTAAAGCTCCAGTGAAATACTCTAAGCCACAAAAGCAAACAAAAAATGATTCTGTGCATTTAGAAATAGTATTTTATTGAATGCATCTGTTTACTCCTTGCTACCGGTGCATAGCTCCATAGTACGCCTCTGTAACTTTTCTGTATTTATGAGTTATGCTTTTTCAGAAAGGTAATTCAGTTGTATAGATTATTGATATGCAGTGAAACTTTACCCACAGTACTATTACCTGCTTTAAAAATACACGGCAAGAGGAAGAGAAGGGAAATAAAATCTCAAAATTGGGATTCTTAATAAAATAAAAAAAAAATATATATTCCTAAAATGTTTTCTTAAGATT